CTACAAGCTGGAAGTGGTCTCCAAGCAGCATAATTGGAGGGTAACCAAACCTGAAACCTCTAAATGAAGACCGAAGATAAAAGTGGTTATTTATTTCAATGAAACTGCTTGTGTTACGTGGCGTTTCCTTACATTCCAAATCTTCAATAAGCAATTCTCCAGTGAGTTTAAAAGTGGGGATAAGAGCCCCGTAGCTAGACTCGTTGATTGGGGGTGGGTGGGGGAACAAAGTACTAGAAGGACCACCGCAACTGTTAGAGTTGGAGTTGAATTTGAATGGCCCTGCCCCCTCTTCTTTGGCTACGGGGCTGGATATCCACTGCATACTAGAGGCCCCCCCCCCCCCCCTCATTGGCTACGGATAGTCCAGCAATTGGATTGCTGAAGAAGAAAATCATAAAAAATAGTACTGTATCAAATTAGGGATAATCAGTTGATTTAACAGTACTTTTTGGCAATAGGTACCAATAGATTGTTGTAAAACATTTAACTGAATACTTTATGACAGCCATTGGCCTAAAACTAAAATTTTCTTTTTAAAAAACAGCCATTTTAAAGATAAGAAAACTTTAATTATATGGATAAATTTATAAAATACATCTATTATAATTTTGAAGATCAATTGAGTATTTATTGTTAAAAAAAAACTTGAATCTGTTTGATTTTATTCTTATATGTGGTCCTGAATTGGAGGTAATTTTGTCACTTGGTACTTCCATAAAGGTAGTCTCGGTCTCGAATTAGAGGGGTCTCATAATTAGAGGTTAAGCTCAGTGTTAAAAGGTAGGAGGTCTGTTGGTACTTTAAAAAAGTGGTCTCAAATTAGAGTGGGGGGGGGGGTCTCGAATTGGAGGGCGGACTGTATACTTATGTATGCATGCACACATATGCATGGTAGTATAATAATAGTATGTATAAATTGTCCTTGGTTTATTGTTGATGAAACAGGTCTAAAACTATTCAGTATTCGTTTTTTTTTTTTTTTCGTTTTTTTTTGCTTGCTTTTATTAGTTTTAGTTAAGATTGTTTTCCATCATTTTCTCGTGTGCTCTGTAAGACCGCACCACAGGTTGTGAGTTCCACCGATACACAGTTGTAGTGTCAAATAAATAAATAAATATCACTATATCATTATCATCATCAACATCCCCATCATAATTACCACATCATTTTCCAAAATAAATTGTATCACAATATAGGCCTTATTATATTATACCATTACTGTATCGCACTAATTAATCATATCACCATCATCATATCGCCTTGATAATAATCGTATCATTCTAACTATATATTCATACTGTACATCTCTAATTGTTATTTTGTGTGAAGCGCATAATATTTTGCATTATGCCTATGCATAGTTTTATCATCATCTCCATTTAAAAAATCATACAGGAAATTTTACAGGAAGAAAAAAATCATCCTAAAATATTTGTTTCGTGAAAGTTTACAAGAAAATAATCAACATAATATTTATCTGAAATTATGTTTTTATTCTTGAGGTATCGGTAAGGAATACATATCTTTTAAGGACTGCATCACTTTCAATTATTATAATAATAATACAGAAAGAGTAACTGTCTATGGTCCTGATTTTCTTGTACTGGAAACGTTATTTTTACAGCTATTCTTACATAAAGTACACTAAGTTTAGTAAAATGTATGCTTTGCGCTACTACTGTAGTAAAAACAAAACATTATTACAGTATTATTATTATTAGTTAGAATTATGTTAAGAAAATTAGTTATTTTAAACATAGAATATGTGTCACAAAGCCAGATCGCATCCACTCAATGTCAGTGATTGAAATGAAGTTGGTTCTCTAGTTCCTAAACTATGTAACCTTGCATTGTTCGAAGATATTGTTCATTTTGCTTTGTATGCCCTTTTTATAAGGATTAGAGATAGACCGATCACTGTTGTTTTTTATTAGACAAATTATTCCAATCCTATATCTTATTTGATTTCGAAATGTTAATGTACACATTGATTAATCCATTATTGTTTTGTTTGTCTCTCAAAGAGGAAGGCTGCCCTCTCTTAATTCTTTAACGTCATATATGCACATAGCTTTATTTTTTTATTTAGAATGTAGGCCTACGCACAATAACAAGTCTAAAATAGTCCGATAAAGTGAAAATGGATAAAAGTGGTCGGTCGAACGAGATAAAAAATCACAAACCTTTAAATTGCGGTTTCACATACTAACGAAAATACATAATTACGTTAAAGTGCAGTTAAAGCGGAAGAGCGGATTGGAATTGGAAAGGAACATACTTTTACAACATATATTATACTTTTGATGTACATTTTCATCTACTGTCTCGAGTGGAAGCAACAATTAATGGCCAGTCAGATGAGGGGGCACCGCTGGCTGTTTTGCCACAACATTTTTCAAATTTCCAAACATAAATGCCAATTACGAAAATATAAAACAAAACTATAGATATAGAACAAATACGAAATGTTTCAACTGGGCCTCTGGTCCCTTTGTTATGTAACTACTGATGGCACCATATCCAGATAATGGTGCCCCAACCCCTGTTGGAAAATTCTTGATCCGCCCCTGTAATACTCCTCTGTTCCTTGAATACCGCACACATTCGTCTCGACTTAAATGTGATAAGAAACAATAAAGGATGTGAATATTATCAGATATAATGACAGCAGAACCCCCTATTCAGGGGGCACCCCTACTAAGGGGACACTTTCGTAAAACGAGGGGAATATATATCTTTTAACACTACAGCCACCCCTGTTAAGGGAACAAGGACATTTTTTTAAGGGACACGTTTTGAGTGCACCTGAATGACTTAAAAATAATTGGCCGTTAATAATTCTGACCGAACGTAGAAAGTTAATGGTATTGTTAATTGAGGTTTACGAAAAGGCGTGGAACTAACTTTAGTTGCTGACAAGAGAGAATAAATCCAAATAACAGCAACAGAATTTAGTCCCACAATTGCTGCTATGTGGATTTCGGACCATCCCATTCCCACCTAACGCTACACATATTGTATTTAACATTTTACGTTACGTTTTAATTACGTTTCACTACATATTTATTTAACGTTAGTGATCTATTGCGTTGTTGAGACACTTGTAACCTTGTTGAAAACTACTATTACAAACTATATAAGCACTCCGTTTAATCTTTGGTGTATAACGTACGTTTATATATATTATATAGAAATTACCAAACTTGAGAATACACTGGAATATATAGCTTAAATATAAAATTTCAGGAAATATATATAGAAGGATGAACAAAGAAGACTTGAGGTAAAGATTTGCACTATTCATCACCAAATTTGCATAAAGGTTTGAACTCCATAAACACTACAGTGTACAAGGGCAATATCAATTAGGTCTACTTGGATTAGACCTATATCAGTAATTTCGTTAGCAATTATAACTACCGTGTTAAACAGCAGTATACTGTACTATATATTGGAGCGGAGAAGAATATAGTACAAACTGTGATTGTTATAGTTATAGGCCTGCTGCACTTATATTCGACCTAACACGGTACTGCTGCTACAGCTGTTGCTGTTATTGCTACTGCTACTACAACTGCTGCTACTAGTTAACTATTAATATTAATAAATAAAAAAAATATTTTTACTCAAAGTTTTGACGTATAGGTTTATCAGTCATGTCAAACAGGAACATTTAAAAAAACGTTGCGATTAGTTTCATTAAAAAGAACAATATGACCAGTAAAAGAAGATAGGTTGTAATGTGTTATGATTTTCTAAGCATGTTTCATGGACTTAGACAATTAGCATTGCGTTTGATAGAAGTTGCATATCTGTCATTCATAACATAAAAATATTTAGAAACAATTAAAATGATATGAAACATTAGTAGTGTTAATTGGTACGGGGAAATATATTGTATTTCCCTCCACTTTCGAGGGAAAATATTTTTGTTCACTTTAGGCTATAAAGCATCTTGTGTGTATGTTTGTCACGTGACTGACATGATTGCCACTTTGAAGAGTGATAAAATCCAATGTTTAACATATCTTAGCCATAGTGACTAAAGCCGAATAAATAAATGAATACAATACAGCATATTTTGGTCGTCAGGGGTAGGTAAAGCGAACTTTTCCTGTAACTCATTAAGAAACCGAAAACCGAGTGTGCCATTGTGTGTCTATTATCTTTCCCTCAGATAATCGGAAATATGGAAAGATATTCACTTCGTGTGATCGAAACTTGATGATCTATGTTGTTACATTTTTTCAGACCGGTAGCCCTAGACATTATTTCAGTGTAATTATAATACAGTTGCTTAATATTAGCCTAATAGTAATAACAAAAGCAGTAAAACCAGCAGCAGAGTAGTAGCAGTTGGTGGTGGTGGTAGTGGTACTAGTGGTAGAGGTAGTGGTAGTGGTAGCGGTAGCGGCAGCGGCAGCAGCAGCAGCAGCAGCAGCAGTAGTAGTAGTTCCGGTAGTAGCAGCAGCGACAACAATAGTGAAAAGTATTCAGACATTGCTCATTCCTAAGTGTTATTACTATTATTGATACACCCGCATTACCAGGAAAAAACTATATCTATATAATATATATGCTGTTTTATATATAATAATATAATACTTCTATTTCTGTACATCATGATTTCTCCTGACAACGTATGAATAGACAAATTTACAAAACATTAATATTTATATATAGTTTACATTTTTATACAATATATTATATATATATATATGCGCCTAGGACTTGGACACTCTACAAAAACTTAAACTACGTTTGCGCTTACTTATAAATTTTCTATTGCGTTTAATCAATTGGAACAACCTGGTTGTTCAACGTTTTCAAGTTCCAACATCTCACGGCCATTCTGTGACGGTTGCGTGTAACCATCTACGCGATGACGTGTTACTTCTGGCGTACGACGCACTAACAACCATGTCACGAGAAATAAGGTGAATGATAATGAATTAAGAGCAATGCATACGCCGAAGTAGGCGTGCCGAAATGAACGATTGTCGTAAAGTACACATACACCTATCTGATCGCAATTCGAGTTGAAGATGTTACATGTCATATCGATGACAGCACCGTAGAAAATAGGAGCCGGGATCATGCCTGCAGTAGAATATTAAAATAGTTATAAAACATAAACAAACGTAAGAAGGCATTTAATTTATATATTTTCTAGTTTTATAGAAAGTAATTAGTATAAATTTAGAAAGAAAACGAAACATTGCGATGAACGAACGAACGAACGAACGAAACGAAATGAAATTAAATGGAATGAATAAATGATTGAATAAATAATGAATTGTAATATGCCTAGTAATATTAAGGGTAATGGCAATATCAGTAGAAATACCCCTATAAAACACCCATTTTAAGAGTGTCCGCTGCAAAATAAGGGTAAATATATTTTAAATATACACTAATTTCTATGTCAAAAATGAGCAAACTTAATTTAAAAAATGATTTTTATGATTTTTTTTTTAATTTTTTTTTTTTTTGGTATTGTATTTTGCATGGGATAATATGCCTACATCTTTAAACATTATTACATGTTGAACGTTTTTTGTCGCTGTATGGGCGGCTAGAACGGGATGTTTATTAAATGATCCATACTTTCTTAATTGTTTATTAATAGTACTGTGTTATAATGTATAGGGGCCTTCCAGAGAATTTTCTCTACGGTGTTTTTCATCTGGTTTCTTACCCCGGAAGACTGGTATATAACATACCTAGAATGGTAATGATAATGAGGGTAATAACAATAGTAATATGTATATTTGAGTTTATGTTACATAACCATTCGCTTTACAGAATTATGTCGATATGTTATGAATAAACAGGTTTGTCGGTGGCCCACACAAGTTGTACATTGGAGTGATGTGTAGGTTTACTTGTGAACTACAGAATCACGTACCGTATCCACTTCCTGTCTCTTATACACATCTAGATGTGTATAAGAGACGGGACATACCCTACGTAGAAGACCAAGAACAAATTTGTCCAAGCCTATCTGAAGCCTGTCAGCATCCTCAATGCTGCTGATAGTTTTAAAAAATTTGACATCGTCAGCATCGTCAGTCGTTATCTGGAGTGAATAAAGAGGTCAGGGATATCGTTTACATAAAGATTGAATAGGAGAGGACCAAGAATCGAGCCCCGTGGAACACCAGAATGAATAGGAAGACACTGATGTTACACCATCGACGACCACTAGCTGCAACCTACCATCTAAGTAACTATTAAAACCAAAACAATGTAATTTTAAAAGAAGAAAGTTATGTGGAACTAAATCAAAAGCCGTATAAATTATATCACATTGTCTCCTGTCATCAATTGCTTCGTAGACTGTTTTCAAAAGACTGGCAAGGTTTGTTTTACAAGATCTACCAGTGACAAAGCCATGTTGACAAGGAGCACTGACAGGAGAAACATGGGTCCAGATTTGGTTTAAAATATGGTCTATAATAAGAAATTGATTTCTTTAAACGTTTCCGAAAAGTAGGAAACTGTCCAGTTTGAGAGACATATACACATATACACACGCACACATATATATATACACACACACACACATACACATAAGCCTACACATATACATATATACATACATATTATATACATGTATATATATGTATATATATATATTTACAAATATACATACACACATATAGGCCTATATATATAAACACACACACATATATATATATATGTATATATACATATATACATACATACATATATATATGCATATATGTATGTATAAATATGTATGTATTCATTTATGTATGAAGGGTTGAATAATAATAACAGTGATCAATAAGAACAAGATTTCTTATTCCTGAACGCTATCAATATTATTCTCTAAACGTACATTTTCCGGATAAGATCAACGAGATTTTGATTTCAACAGGAAGGAAAAGTCTTACCGAACAGTCTCGTGCCTACGTGTTTGAAACCCAAGGACATCGCTTTATCTTGCTTATCTACAGATCTTTGAAAAAAATTAATAGAAAACAATTAGTTTTAACGAAGCATTATTTCCGTACACTTTATTGTAGAGGGGCATAAAAATATTGATATCAAGGATATGTTGTTCGAGTTTTCATGCTGATTTTTCCATTATCTTATATACAAAGCAAGATTGGAGACCCGATGTATTATTGACAATCCTACTCGTGCACTGATATTAAGAAATTTACTCCAATGCAAAGATAATACTAGCCAAATATAATGAACTTAAAAAGCATATCACTCTATTACTTGGGTTGTTGGATCAAGGCACACGCAGCATATAACATTGCAGCAGATCAGCGCAATGGTGTTTAAAAGTGTGATCTCTTTTGTGCTCGGTGAATTAGAACCAAATAAAGTTCTCAATGCGGAAGATCACTCCGCTTCGCGGAAGTGAAGGGCGTGAATAGGCAGGGTATAATTAAGGGCGTTTGTTGTTATCAGCGGTCTCTGTACACCGACATGCTGCTTTGCGAGTGGTCAAGTGTATTGTCCCCATAAAAATGAAGAAAAAAAAAATCATAATAATAAGATAATTTTGAAAATCACTTTCTCATATTGCAGTAACATACAAAATATTAAATTGTACATGGAAATTATTTAATTTAAAAAACGTGTTTTTATCACAATTTACTATTAGAAATAATGGTTCTTCAAAGGTTCTGGGCTGTCCTGTATATGGAACCCTCAGTAGAATAAAAAGGTTCTATATTTTGAAGTGTTCTGTAAATAGTTCTAAAAAAACATTAACGAACTTAAAATAGTTCGAAGGACCCTTCCGCGAACCCTTTCTTCTTTTTCGTACATTTAAATGTGCTACAGGGTTTCCATATACAGGACAACTGAAGAACCCCTATAAAACACCCATTTTAAGAGTGTCCGCTGCAAAATAAGGGTAAACATATTTTAAATATACACTAATTTCTATGTCAAAAATGAGCAAACTTAATTTAAAAAATGATTTTTATGATTTTTTTTTAAATATTATTTTTTGGTATTGTATTTTGCATGGGATAATATGCCTACATCTTTAAACATTATTACATGTTGAACGTTTTTTGTCGCTGTATGGGCGGCTAGAACGGGATGTTTATTAAATGATCCATACTTTCTTAATTGTTTATTAATAGTACTGTGTTATAATGTATAGGGGCCTTCCAGAGAATTTTCTCTACGGTGTTTTTTATCTGGTTTCTTACCCCGGAAGACTGGTATATAACATACCTACAATGGTAATGATAATGAGGGTAATAACAATAGTAATATGTATATTTGAGTTTATGTTACATAATCATTCGCTTTACAGAATTATGTCGTTATGTTATGAATAAACAGGTTTGTCGGTGGCCCACACAAGTTGTACATTGGAGTGATGTGTAGGTTTACTTGTGAACTACAGAATCACGTACCGTATCCACTTCAGGCCTACTCTTGGGTGGAGTATTTGCAGATATTAAGGCTGCATGCTTCGTTTTTTTTTTTTTTTATCTTCTTTATCGACATGTTTATTATAAACGAAATTATAAAAACCTCATAAATAAGCCAGAAATGCACAAACCTCATTGCTAGAATAGTTTGTGGGGCTACCTCCATACCGGCAACACAAATCACAATAAACAAACACACTAGAAATGGAACAAGATAGTTGCATTGATGTGTCCCTTCGCATATTCCCTTTACTGCTGTCCACTGGCTCAGGTTGCCACTCAAGCACGAACAATCGATATACGTTGACGCCTGTGGAAAGATAATTGAAGGTTTTTCATAATCATAATTCTACAATATTTGAATATTTAGATCTAGTAGTCTTTTTGCCATACGAGATATCCACCAATCAATGTGTATCATCACCACTTACTCAATGATACTTTATGTATTCTTTTTTGTTCTCGTTTGTGGTCTGTGGAGTCAAAGGGAACGCGGAGGAGGAATGTCCTGGGGGGACACACCATGTATAGTGCGCGCACGCGTAGGCATATCATGAATGTAATCGTTTCACATGTAACTTAAGTATTGAACATATTTCATAAAATAAGAACCTGTTCGTTATCGGCAAAATTACCTGACTATCATAGTCTTTGCATCCAGCGATACATGGTGAAAAGTAAGTGATGTTGTCTGCTCCACATACAGGCGCATATTGTGAATCGCTGCAATCACACACTTCACAAATAGTTTCATTTCTGACAAATACGAAAATACCGGTAACATTCTGATTTTAAGAGTATATAAAATTGAACAATAGACCTAACAAGCGTAAATGGTAATACATCTTCCCACCATGATCGACAATGATAATATAAGCGGCTAATCAATATTACGAATAATCAATTAATTCACTTTTGCAGAAATGACAAAACACCATAAGACTTTAATGATAATAATGACATTATTTAAATTAAACTTCTAAAACAGAAACAATGTTTCAAAACATAGGATACTGTCAGCTGTTAAAAGGCTTACAAAAATAGCAATGCTTACTGATACTACTCACGTGTCTATATCCGTAGTTATATGGGGGCTAGTGCAGCCGATATTATATAAGATAATGTGTCCTACAAGTGTTATTCCGCTGAGTGTGGCTGTAAGTAAGGCAGACCCGGTAAGGTTGAGGTTCAAACGCTTAAACAAGATTCCGCCTAGGATACAGCCTACTCCAATAGCTGGGACTGGGATCAGACCTGCAAACAAAACAAAATCAAGTGGAAAATGAGACCAGCAACTAAATATGGTCCACATGTACATTTGCAATTTCTATAGACTTCTTTTTTATGCTCCTGATACCTTTGGCTCCTGATCCATTTTAGCCATGTATCTGTAAAATTGGGTCCGAGTAAGTAAGGAGATAATCCAACACTTTAGAATTCATTCACCACACACATTAATAATGTTCTTCTATTACTTCATACATACATAGCAATATTGTACTGCACCTCGGTCAATTAAATAACGCTATATAAATTCATAGAAATAATACTAATAATAATTATAATCATAAATTAATGTATAAGATTAAATGTATAAGATTAAAGTATAATAATAATAATAATAATAACAATAATAATGTAGTTTTTATATAGCGCTGGTATCCATCAAACAGGGTGCACATGGCACTTGATATATGTGGACCAGGAACTCGATCAATAACTTCCTTCGCCCCTAAGGGTCCTTTTGTGTCTTTGCTGCCCGGTTACCCGGTATACGCAACTCTCGTCGTCCATCACAGGGGTTGTCTGTATATAAAAGATATTTGTAATTTCTTAGTCGTTTAAGCTATCATATGTCACTATTAAATAAGTGAAAACATTTGATGGCTAAAACAAGAAAATTTTAAATTATATTATTTTACCTAAAAACAGGGGTTTTTGGCAATAATGTTTTTCCTTGATAATTTTTGGAGAAAATACTAATATATTACAGATAGAAATACACATAAGCCAAACAAATCGAGACCAAAGTTCAATTCTCTCGCACAAATGATAACAGAGTTACTGAGCTTTTCAGAATTTAACAGAATTTTACCAAAAGTAGCCTTTTTAAAAAAAGTGAAATTAAATTTTTATGCCACTCTAGCTATCCATTGGCACAATGGAATAAGTGGAAACATTCGATGGCTTGCAAAACAAGGAGATAAAATGTGTTTTTTATTAATAAACTTTTTCCTAGTATTTTTTTGGGAAATGTTTTATTCAAAAACACACATATAATCAAAGGAAGGTAAATACAGTGTTCGAATAAAGGACATAATAATACATACAACGAATGTAGTCTTGTAAATAAATGAAGAAAATTTTGTAACAAAATGCCTCCAACCTTCAAACCTGCCACCTCTCGCTGTCAAAGCGAGCGTCATAACCATTATCCCACAGAGGCTTCATGGTTACCATTAGCCCACAGAGGCTTCATGGTTCATGGCTGCCTGATTTGCCCTTAAGGCGTCTGCAGCATAGGCATTTAGAATTAATTTCATTAACAAACAGAATAATAACAATAGATCTAATAATATGAATAGCAATAATTTTTGTAGTAATAATTAAGGGCCCACAGTTTACTGGTATTTTTATTTATCTATTTATTTATTTAGGTTTAAAAAACATCAAATTCCAAACCGGTAGCAAAAGCTTAAACGGTTGTATTACATCGGAAAAAAAATCAGTTCAAAAATCAGAAAATTAAAGAACACAGTAGAAAAGACCACAGTCCATTTGAGGAATGCAAAGAAAACAGACTCTTACTAAAAAAACATTTTTGCAAGGAATGCAATTTTGGAATAAACCTTGCAGTAATACGATAGGCCATGCTTAATTATTATATGATTTTAATGTACAATCTGAATACCTGTTAATATATTTGCATTGGTTGGTGATAATCCAAATTGAGTTTCAAAGTACTTCGGAAAAAATGTAGCCTCACCGAAAAACATTCCATATTCAACAGTAATACCGGCCATCAGTGTAATAAACGGTGGATTTGTTAATAGACGTTTCATCGATTGCACAAGATCTAAATATAGGGAAATGAATAATATTAATTAAGTCTTTAAATTGCTGAGTATTTTTAAGTTGATTGTTATCACATTGTTCCCCTTTCACACATTCACGATTTTGCTACGATAGAACACGATTTTTAAAAGTTGTGAAATCTTGCTCTATCGTAGTGATTTGTACTCAAAAAGTTTAAGTTCAATTGAATTTTACATTTTGTCAAGTTAAAGTTGAAGTGAATTTTAAATTTTGTCAAGACGACACTTGACGACATTGTTACGAATTATTATGATGACAGAGTTACAACAACGTTAAAATTTGTCACGACGTATTTACGAATTACCAAGATATTTACGTCACCAGACGCAAGCGTGACTCAATACGTTGTAACAACACGCATGTTTAAATTAATCAATGACAAAAAAGTGCAATTTATGGATATTTGAAAGTTGTCGTTGTCGTCATAGTTGTTGATATTCCACCATTACCTGCATTATGGAAGTTGCTGTTCTAGAAGGAGAAATTTTGTTTCCTTTTTTTTTTTTTTTTTTTTGGATTATTCAGATAATGAATTTGACATTTTATCCATGAACGTTGACCCTTAAAATATATTTTATATTTAATATGCTTTAACATAATAACCTGGTTAAGAGGCAAAATTCACAAAACATGTCAGGCCTATTTAAAAAATAATATTTTAAAGGGAATTTTCACCATGACATTGTAAATATGTCTAAATTTTATAGGATAAAACTTAATAAAATAAATATATATTTCCATGGCCTATTAAGTTACTCAAATCCAATGCCAGGATATAAAATAGAGTGCTACTATATTTTAGAGTAAATAAATGATTAACGAAAAAAAAAAAAGTTCATACTATGACGATTTTATCGTTTATACATGATTATTATGTTATTTGATTTGTGAAAAAATTAGTTTTAAAATATTTTGGAGGCCTCTCTACATTTTAAATTTTAAAATGTAGAGAGGCCTCCAAAATATTTTAAAACTAATTATTCTTTTTAAAATTTTGGCTTTTGTTTCCTTTTTTTTTTTTGGATAATAATAATAATTTCAGATAATGAATTTGACATTTTATCCATGAACGTTGACCCTTAAAATATATTTTATATTTAATATGCTTTAACATAATAAGCTGGTTAAGAGGCAAAATTCACAAAACATGTCATAGGCCTATTTAGAAAATAATATTTTAAAGGGAATTTTCACCATGACATTGTAAATATGTCTAAATTTTATAGGATAAAACTTAATAAAATAAATATATATTTCCATGGCCTATTAAGTTACTCAAATCCAACGCAAGGATATAAAATAGAGTGCTACTATATTTTAGAGTAAATAAATGATTAACGAGAAAAAAAAATGTTCATACTATGACGATTTTATCGTTTATACATGATTATTATGTTATTTGATTTGTGAAAATATTTTTCGTATACACGATAAATCAATATTGAATCGTGATAGTAAGAAAAAGTCTTGTATATACGTTATTTTTCTATAACATTTTTTTTTTCATTATTTAGCTTTTTATTGTTCATTAGAATATAGTTTTTGTTGTGTCGGTTGGTCAGTGTCGGTCCCTATTACATTTAACATGTTATTTTCCCTATTTCTGTTAGTCGTTTTGGTTTAAAATTTAGCAGGCTGTTTCTCAGTGATGGTGGTCGGTCATTCCATTGTTAGTCTGTCAGTCGGTCGGTTATTTTGTGCGGCCACATTGCATTAAATAATAGATTTGAAATCTTTCTTTGTGTGACGGAACTGTTCAATGATGAGTCACGTGATTTGAACCACAGCCGTGATGGTATTCTGGTGGCATCGTATCTAATTGTATCATCACCGTAGCGAATGCGCAAGACGTCGTCACGACAAATGACGACAACGTTGTACAACACTTACTCGACAAGATGCTGCTACGGTAGACCAATATTTTTGCATTCATTACAAATTCTTTGGAACATTAAAATTGTGGTCCACCACGATGGCAACAAGACCCAGTACGGTGCACTAATTATGACCACGAAATTTAGTAGGTACGACACCACTGCGATTTTCAAAAATTAAAAAATCGTGAATTTGTGAACACACTACGACAGTCGTACGATCGTTGGCAAACGTATCATCTCCGCGAACCGTGACGCCGTCTGCTGATTGTAGGTGGCAGTTTGAGTAGATCGTCTCGCGTTGCCGACGACAGTCGAAGAAATGTGTGCCCGGCTTATAATACGGTAACAAGGGCAGTTGTTGCCTTACGAATGTGTTGAACCCATAGGCGTAGATCCCGGTGGATGGGGGATATACCCCCCCCCCAATATTTGACAAGGAGGATGGTCCATTGTATCATCCCCCAATATTTTGACTATGTATGGGATGAAATGGAGCTTTAAACAATTCAAAAGACTGTCACAGAAATAACTTGCACTGTCTTATGCGCTTACAAAGATGTAAATTAGCATAATGTATTAATGTTGATAAACAAAATTATTTTATCTGGTACCAATCTAAGCTCTTCTTTCCTTAGATGTTAGATGTGCTTGCAAAGAGAGCCACATTTCACACTGAATGGTGTGTACGACATCAGTAATGTTATGTCAATTCCAAGAATGTTAAAGGTTATATCGGTTGATGAGGAATTTATTGATTAGGCCTATAATATTTATATATATTTATTTTGCAAAAACAAGGTTTCCAGCTTCAGAGGGGGGCACATTTCCTGTCCGCACTAGGGCACACATTGGCGCTAACACCAGGCGCGTAACAGGGGTCTTGGGTCAGAGTGGGCATTTATTTTTATTATACAATCCTCATTTCCTGGTTAGTAATTTACCATACCCACCCCACTCCCCATATAGAAAACAATACGACACAGGGCTTATCTTATTTATAATATCGGCCACACACGTCTGTTTGAAACTAAGTATAAGCATTTTCATCATGGTTTTATCTATTACAAACATATTCTTTCACCATCTATACACATTGAGGCCCTTCTTTTAGGTTAAAGTGATCTATCTTAAATTTGTCTTTCTTGAGTTTGGGACTATTATGTGTTTAAATAACTTAAAAGGATAAAACTAAAAAAACCCTAAAAAATGCGCGCCAAGCGCGCAAAATATTTTTGTGTTTTTAATTCTAATTTCTTCGGAATTGATGAAAACTCAATAAAATGTGCAATTTATAGAGGAAATTGGCCTACCGTAACAAGAAATGCGCGAAATGAATTTGAGAATTTTAGGCACTTTCAGAGGATGCATTTGTTAAGGGGTGGAGAAAGATTTTCCAAAGATGGATATTTTCCCCTTGTCCACC